CCAATTTAATCAAAAAATCTTTTGGCTCGAAGACTGTTATTTACTCTGACAGCCAGGCAGCTATTATGTAAAGCTCTTTTTTCTTGGACTATCAAATGGTCCTAGAGTGTTACAAGCTTCTGCAATCACTTGCAGCTCGAAATAAGGTAAGCCTTTACTGGGTTCCGGGTCACAGAGGAGTTTTGGGAAATGAAAAAGCTGATGAGCTAGCCAGAACTGCATCAAAAATTGCTTTCATAGGCCCTCAACCCTTTTGTGGAATAAACTGGGCCAGTACAAAACAGATTATCAATGAAATGGAAAATCATATGCGGCTGGAGTACTGGGTAAACTTTCCAGGACTCAGACACAGCAAAGCACTGATAACACCTTACTCCTACAAAGACATTTTTAAATTCTCAAAATGTGATTTAAGGTTGATAACGGGTTTCATTACAGGTCACTATGGTCTGAAATGTCACCTTCATAAACTACAATTATCTGCTAACACGGAATGCAGATGAGGAAACGACCATGCACATTCTTTGTGACTGTCCAGCTTTAATAACGCACAGAAGAAACCTGTTTCATAAAGAATTTCTGTCACCAGAGCAGATTAAGAACTCTTCTCTAGATTTAGTTCTAGACTTTATTCACAAAGCTTTAAGGGGCTTTGTTTAATCAATAGTGAAACTGGTTCGATAGATCTCTTCTTGCCGCAGCACCGGCTGTTCGGCAATTTTCACGGCTACTCTTTAATAAATAATAAAAAAATAAATAAGTCATGAATGTTATATATCGTATGTTTGTTATTGATTAGGTTGGCCATGGGTTAGTCTGTATATAGATCCCCATCAGTGGCCCTAAGCACCCTATACGATTCCGTTACTTCCATACATAGATCAATATGAAATCTTATCTGACGATGGTCAGATATGGATGTTTCTGTTGAAACATTCAAGATTTTGATAAAATGTTTTATTAATCGGTGTGGTTAGGATAATGTCTAAAACCTCTTCCCCGATTCTGTTTATAAAAGTGAACATATTACTCGTATTCAAAATATAAGAGTTATTACCTGTAATAAATTCAAATAGTCACTCACCTCTATTATTGATATTGGTGTTACCCTAAATCGTGTGGAGTGCATTAGCGTAACTTTCAACGATGAGAGGCTTCTTGTTTTTTACACTGCAGTGCATCAGTCCTTTTATTATTAATCAAATTTAAAAACTAAACATATTGCAATTATCCGTTCCAAAAAAGAAGTTAAAATTTCTAATAAAACTAAATGAATTTTTTTTTATCAATATTTAGAGTCGCTCGTGTCCATGCGACTCGTGGAGTAACATTAACATAACTTTTTCAGCATTACGTTCATAGATTAGGTTTTATATATAAGAAAGAACAAATCTTGCAACAAATAATGCCTCCACAAACAGAATAGTATTGAAATTTAACAATTAAAAATAAATATATAATTAATTAATTCATATATTCCACAGCTGGTTTATGATTTTGTTCTAATACCAACACAGCTGGTGAATTTGTTAAAGCTTGCACAGCAAAGTAACAAAACTTCAGAAAAATGTGCGCACATACAAGTCAAGTACGGCTTTGTGTCAGTTGGTCAAGCTGCGCTGACTCTGAGCTTCAAATTTGGCAGGACACGAGTTCGATTCCTGGTATTTGCAGTCTCAAAAAAAAAATTTTTTGCGATTAATTAAATGCAAGAATTATTTCCAAGACCACTGATGATGGGTATTTGGCAATTCTCGAAACAGCTGTGTTGTCAGCCAAAAATTCACTTAATTAAAATGGCATAAAATAAATTTTTGTTGCTGTGTTCACTACCGTTCGAAAAATCTTTTTATCACTATTTATAACAAATTTTATAATTATAACAAAATTACGTTATGGTAGTATAAAATTTTTTCGTTTTAGTCTGGATATTGTGGTATCAGAAAGCAACTGTTTCGCTATTGGATTACGATGCTGATGTATTTTTTGTCCGCGTTTTCTAGTCATATATACATCTATTGGGACTCCAAAATAGTTATAGTTATTATTTGTAATAATTTGTTTTAAACTCTCGGTATTTTGACGATATGAGAAGCGCATACCATAGAACCAGATAGGTTTCAAGATTGAATTATATACCAGGACTTTATTTTCCAGACTTAGTTTAGAATTTTTATTAATAAGCCAATGAAAGTGCTGTCATTTCAATTTTACTTGATTTTTTTTTGCTTTCAATGTGCTTAGCTGACTTAGGCATTCTGTCAAGATGAATGCCAGAATATTGGTATCATTTGACTGAGGTATAATGATATAATTCCACTTAACAGGGAGGTATGTTTCTTTTCGTAAAGTAAACTTTTCGTTTCGTTTAATTTTATGCGCTATTTTGCTAGCTACTTCTCCAATAGTCTCAAATGAATCGGGAGACTTTGAAATGCAGTTATGTGATCACTGTGAGAACTGAAAATTGTAGTGTCATCCACAAAAGTAGCAACGGACGTGATTTGAGAATATTGGGAGAGATGATTTTGGAATCTTTTTTATTTCTAAAGTTTTCCATTGCTTCGGATAGTAGCCAAAAGCGAGAATGCTATGAAAAACCACCGTTAGAAAAGATATTGCTGAATCAGACAATTGTTGTACAGAAATAGAGAAAGAACGGGGTAGTAGGTCCCATTTGAGCAGAGCACTGCGACCATGATTGATCTTTTGTGCTTCAACAGACCCTAACTGAACAGAAGACATTTCACCTTCCGGATGAAGGCTAAAATGTCGGCCGTTGAGGACCTCCTAATGTCGGAAGGGGAAAGCTATTCCCGACCCAGTGACGTCCTCCTGGCCCAGATCAAGGCTGGGCAGTCACATAGAATGTGGCTGGTTGTTGTTATGTTTTTCGGAGTATCCGCTGTTTGCTTGCTCCCTAGACAAGCTGACGGCAATAATAATCAAAGTTTCTATTATTTTTTTGGAACACAATTAGTTTGCTGATTCGTTTCCACTGAATAACAGTAACACTTTCAAAAAACAACTCACAAGTTTTGTGTAGACATTAAGTAAAAGTAATTCAAATAATTTTATGTATTTCTATTGTCATACATTTTCACTTAAACAAATTTTCAATATATATTTATGTTATTTGTTTTTAAGTCACATAATCAATCTTATAATATATATATTTGTATTGTTTACAAACTCTTTCTTTTTTTTTTCAATTGAACATGGTGCGGTTAAGTACTAACCAACTTGAGAACGGCAGCACTAAAACACTTCACTATAAATTAATTAACATTTTTATTGTTGTGATCCTTCCTTTTATCAATTTAACTTAATTATCTAATTCGTGATTGTAGAACCTAACGGCTCTACAGAGCACGAGCTCACCCACAGAACACAACTGCTTAAAACAACTGACTATCTCCAACTGACTATCGACTCCAACTCACCGATAACTGCCTTTAGACTATTGTTTATAAACAAAAATTCTAAAGGCCTTACCTATGCATGACGCCGACGTTTCAAGGTGCCCCAAATTACTTTATTTTTATTATTCAATAGTTTTTTGCGTAACTCGCAAAAACGTCAATAACTTAAGTTGCACTTGATATTTTTCCAACATTTGATTATTTATTTCTGTTTGAGATTTGGCACAGCAACTAGGCGATATGGCAGCACACATTTAGTATTTTTAGACGATGGCATCCTAACATGTGGCAACGATAATTTTGGTTTCGTTTTTTTGCTTTTTCTTTCTCCTTCTTCTTTACTTGACTGGCATAGAGTGTGCACGTTTATTTGGCTTGGCGAGATATAAATTATTCTAGTCTAATTTTTTCCTAAATTGAATAAATAAATAAACATTTTGCGTGTGTGTAAAATAATCGTGTTTGTTTTTCATACATTTGTTGGTGCCGAAACCCGGGAGTTTCGGTTTTTATTTAAAATTAAATTGCGTTTTTGGCTTTTTTGGCGTTTTTATACGAAGAAAATATGGCTGCCCTAAAATAGGCGTACGGCTGCGTGGTCATCATTAAAGCTGGTAGCTGCAAAAATAATGGCGGATGACTACGTTGTATGGCTTTGGCATGCAGCAATATCGTGGCACATCTCAGGCTGATCATAAAAGGCCAAACTCATGTCTAATGAGGACAAACCAAATAGGCAACTGCACCAGGCTATTGGCTTGCTCACCAGCGAAGCGCTTCACATTGCTAAAAGGCTCGAATCTTTGCTTCAATTGATTGAAACCTGGACATTCTACTAAGGCATGTGGCTCAACTAATTGTCGCATATGCAATGGCAGGCATCACATTCTACTATGCCGAAGTTCACCAGCGCAAACTCCTCCTTTGCAAGAGTCCAAACAAACTACACCTCAGGCACCAGCGAAACCGAACCAGGCTGGCATCCCACCACGTGTGCATCAGTGACTACACCATCCAATGCAGACATTCGCTACTATAGGCAATCGGGTTATACTCTTGGCAACAGCACAAATACGCATCTTAAATGGCTTTGGCGATATCGACTCGTGTCGAGCTCTATGCGATCCAGGCTCTCAGGTAAGTCTAATGAGTACGCGATATTTTAATCAACTGGCTCTGCGGAAGCAGAAAAGTGCATTGCAATTACAAAGCGTTGGCAGTGGCAATCGTTCATATACTAATGGCCGGGCAGTCTTGCGCATATTTTCGACTGTCAATGCTTTATTTGGCTTAGATGTTGAATTCTACATCATCAACAAAATTACCTCAGCAATCCCTGTGGCTCCAATCATGGAAAACTGTTGGCAGCATTTACGCAATTTGCCTTTGGCAGACCCGAAATTTGGCGAAACTGGTGTTATAGATGCATTGCTTGGCTCAGACGTATGGGGCCAATTGTTGGCAGATGGCATAGTTCGTGGCGAACTTGATGATCCTGTGGCACAAAATACGCAATTAGGCTGGGTTGTATTCGGACCAGCCGAAGCAACCGTGCATTAGTACAAGGCGGAACAATCTATGGCATTGCGTGTGGAGGCGCCTGATGAGCGAGTTGATGACCTTCTACACAGGCTATTTGAATCCAAAGAAATTGACATGGCTAAAGGCGATACACTAGCAGCAGTTGATCTTTGCGAGTGCATTTTCATGAGCACACATAAGCGTTTTGATGATGGCAGTTATTGTGTACAAATACCATTTACACCAGATGCTCCACCACTTGGGAATTCACATCAAATGGCACTTAGGCAATTTCACCAGTTGGAACGAAAATTGGCATCCAACTCAGAGCTGAGGCAAAGATATGTGGCTTTTATGCGCAAATACGAACAACTTGGTCACATGCACCCTATTCAGCATCATTCAGGCGACTCATCTCAGGCATACTACATTCCACATCATGCAGTCATGGCAAAATTCCGAGTCGTATTCAATGCTTCCGCAAAAACATCGAATGGCATATCATCAAATGATACACAACTCGCTGGCCCCTCAATACAGGATTTATTACTTAACCTTTTGCCTCGCTTCAGGCAGCATCGAATAGCATTCACAGCTGATGTGGAGAAAATGTTCAGGCAAGTCAAGGTTGACGAGAGGCACAGGCAGTGGCAACAGATCCTCTGGCGGGAATCATCCGATCAGCCCATTCGCACATATCAATTGGCTACCGTTACATATGGCACAACTAGTGGCACATATTTGGCTGTTCGCGCTATGCAGCAATGTGGCAGAGACAACTCTTATAAACTCTCAGATGAAGTACGAGCTAAAACTGCTTTGCACAGCATCCTGAATGATTTCTACGTAGATGACTACCTTAAGAGTACACCTTCTATTGGCATGGCGATTCAACTGGCGGCCGATGTCTCATCTGTTTTGGCAGACGGTCAGTTCCATCTAAGGAAATGGAAATCGAATAGCGCTGAAGTCTTGGCACATCTTCTTGGCGATGCTGATCCATGTCAGCTTTATCCGCACTTGGCAGAAACTACTGTTCTTGGCTTACACTGGGATCCACTCACTGATGAACTCTTCTATCAGGTCAGCTCTTATGATGCACAACATCTTACGAAAAGGCAAGTGCTTAGCGATGCTGCAAAATTATATGATCCAATTGGCATGTTGGCACCGGTTATCATTACGGCTAAACTTTTCATACAGAAACTCTGGCAGGCAAAATTGGAATGGGACGACCCATTACCACTTGAACTGTTGCAAGAATGGCTCATATACCGAAGGCAGCTGTCCCAACTGGAGGCAGTGCGAATACCGCGTTGGATAGGCATGCAACCTGGTTATCAAATACAACTTCATGGCTTCTGCGATGCTAGTGTCAAGGCAATGGCTGCAGCACTCTATTTGGCAACAAACCACAATGGCAATATCACTAGTCACATTATCGTATCAAAAACTAAAGTGGCACCATTACATTCGGTAACAGTACCCCGATTGGAACTTTGTGCTGCGCAATTGTTGGCTACTCTTTTACACGAAACAAGGCAGGCTTTGCATTTGGAGCACGTACCATACACTCTATACTCCGACTCAAATATTGCTCTATGTTGGCTACGCAAAAACACATCACAATTAAAGCAGTACGTTGCTAATCGCGTTGGCTGCATTCAATCGATGACAGATATCAGGCATTGGCATCACATTCCTACCAAACTCAACCCAGCTGATTGCGCCAGTCGTGGCATATCTCCTTTGGCGTTGCAAAACTACGCATTATGGTGGCACGGTCCTAATTCAACTGATTATTCAATCAATGAGCTGCACCACTGTGCACCAGCAGATCTGGCAATAATGGAAGGCGAGTTGAAAAAGGCACAGCCCATATCCACATCCAGCAAGATCATTGCACTGAGTCCGTTCATCAACTTAACAGCGGAAAATATATTGCGAGTAGGCGGATGCCTACATAATGCGAGGGTGGCAGAGCCACAACGTCATCCAATCATTCTTCCGAAGGATAGCACATTGGCCAGGCTTTTAATATGGCAGGTGCATCAGGACACACTTCATGGTGGTATACAAATTATGCTTCATACGATTCGACACAAATATTGGATTCTACAGGCACGCATTTTGGTTAAGCAATGCATACACTCATGTGCGATTTGCAGGCGGCATAAACACATAATGCTAAAACAACGTATGGCGACATTACCAAAGGCTCGGGTCACCCCATCTCCACCATTTGCAAGATCTGGCTTAGACTATTGCGGTCCATTCAACATACGCATTGGCTCCAAGGCTGTACGAACCGTGCGGAAGGCTTACGTGGCAATCTTTGTGTGCATGGTAACCAAGGCAGTGCACATCGAACTGGCTGAAGATCTCACTTCTGAGGCTTTCATAAATGCATACACCCGTTTCGTAAACCGGCGTGGTCCATGTAATCATTTATACAGTGACAATGGCACTACATTCATTGGTGCAGATCGCTTAATGGCCGCTGACTTACAGGCTTGGGATAATGAATATTTTCAACAGCAATTGGCAAATCGAGGCACAAAATGGCATTTTCTACCACCTGGCGCACCTCATCAAGGCGGTCTATGGGAAGCTGCCGTTAAGTCAGCGAAGAAGCACTTACTACGCATTGTTGGCACCCATTCCATTTACTATGATCAGCTACATACTCTACTTGTACATATCGAGGCTTGCTTGAATTCACGTCCACTTATACCATTGCATGACACTTGTGACGACAAGATGACTCTATCACCTGCAGATTTCCTAATTGGCAGATCTCTATTGGCAGTACCAGATGAACCTATTGGCAAGGTACCTAGCAACAAATTATCATACTGGCGACAATTAAGGCAAATGCAACAGCATTTTTGGCGACAATGGCATGATAAATATCTTTCAACTTTGCAACCACGTTCCAAATGGCATCAGAATGGCAACAACATCAACATAGGCGATGTCGTGGTTATCCAGCACGAGAATCTACCAGCAACACATTAGCGGCTTGGCAGGGTGATTAAACTTCACCCAGGCGAAGATGGTTTGGTACGAGTAGTCACGATCAAGCATTCAGCAGGCGAATGCATGCGACCTATCCAAAAGAAATGCAGGCTTGTGGAGCATCCTGAACGTACCCGTCCAGCCGGGGAGGATGTTTGAGATTTGGCACAGTAACTAGGCGATATGGCAGCACACATTTAGTAGTTTTTGACGATGGCATCCTAACATCTGGCAGCGATAATTTTGGCTTCGTTTTTTTGCTTTTTCTTTCTCCTTCTTCTTTACTTGACTGGCATAGAGTGTGCACGGTTATTTGGCTTGGCGAGATATAAATTATTCTAGTCTAATTTTTTCCTAAATTGAATAAATAAATAAACATTTTCCGTGTGTGTAAAATAATCGTGTTTGTTTTTCATACAATTTCCAATGTCGCTTTCAGCTTGACACAATTAACAAAAACCGAAAATCAGCATTTCTTACCGACAAGCTGACCTTGGTTACTACTATTGAGCAAGCTGCCAACGACGCTGCCTACTTTTAGGCATGCCTTATATTGGAATATAAATCAGCACGTTCTTCATAGGTTGAGCCTTTCGACTCACAACATTGTTTCCTCTGCTTCTAAGCAAAATCTCCAATCTATCTCTTCGGACAGGTCCATTTTGTTGATATGGTAACGTAGTCCGTGGTGACCCGTTAGATATCCCATCAGCAACCTCAACTCTGTTCTGCTGAAGAAGGATACCTTATTGTAACTGATTAAGAATACACATTAATTAATTTTCTAAGATCGATTTTATTTATTTATAAAGTTTTTTAATTATAACAAACAAAAATCCACGTGCACACACCGAACTACCACGAATAACAACCCAGCTAAAAGTGTCTCTACAAAAGGGTGGTGTTACAATGCATTTTGCTGTGTTTGAACAAGTGTTCAAAAAGGTGCAATCCCAATGTACGGTGTATTTGGCTCACGAACACCCCGGGCGACCCTGAAATCGCGTTTCAGAGTACAGGTAAAACAACAACCTTTGTAATGGGTCGCGTTATCTCCTCGTGTACAGTGTAAAGTTTTACGATTTGAACGAGCCCATCTGAACCAAGATGTATTTCAGTTACCTTAGCTATGAGACACTTTGCTGGTGGTATGCTCGATTCCGTAATGACCACTATGTTGCCCACGGCTATATTGGGTTGCAGTCGAAACCATTTTGGACGGTTTTGTAGAGATGTTAAGTATTCCTGATGTAATGTACGCCAAAATCCGTGAAGCATATTTTCTATGTGCTGCCGGTAGTCTAATTTGTTGTCGTTTATATGACTTAGATCGTCTTCTGGAACCAACGTATACGGGCGACCAATCAAAAAATGAAAAGAAGAAAGATAATTAGTATCCGAGTCTGATGTAGCGCCTAGGGGGCGAGAATTTACAACTGCTTCAATCTGTGTCAGCAAAGTATTCATCTGCTCAAACGTAAGCACTGCATTGCCTATTACGCGCTGTAAATGTGACTTGACTGATCGCACTGCCGATTCCCAGACTCCACCCCAATGTGGTGCAATGATTTCGTTCCGAAACTGTGACATAATTGCTGCATATATCTCGTTTAACACACTAGCAGCACCAAGAAAAATCCTTCCATTATCACTAAAGATTGAAGAACACTTTCCACGACGGGACATGAAACGGCGAAGTGCTGCTAGGAAGCAATTAGTACTTAGGTCAGTAGCGAGTTCAAAATGTATGGCAGATGTAACGAGGCAAAAAAATAAGCAAATATACCCCTTGAAAGTACGTGCATTTCTTCCGTTATTTAATTTCTGTGAGAAGTGCCCAGCGTCATCGCACCCAGTATTTTCAAAGGGATGTGCTTGTCGAACTCGCACTGCTGGTAGATCTGTCATGAACTGTTGTGTTGTTAGCTGGCGTTGACGAAAGCATTTGAGATATTTGAGTTAACCTCCTTATTATATTTCGTGCTCCAAAAATCCAGTAGTTCTGCCGGACGTAAACGAAAAGTGCAGATTCTCCTGGATGAAGATTTTTCTGATATTCATCGTTTAGGATTAAGGTGTTTAATTCTATGTTCTTTCGGGAGTATAATAGGATGACGGGTGTTCTTATTTAACGTTGAATGCGTAATTTTTCCACCGACACGTAAAATTCCGGTATCATCAACGAATGGGGCAAGTTTGAGTAAGGTAGATCTTCTGCTAAGCTCCCTGTTATTTGTTAATTGCAGCAAATCTTCCTTGTAGCAGGTTTGTGCAAGTCGTAAGCAAATTAGTGAAGCTTCACTTAATTCATAAAAGGTAGATTGCTCACGGCCTTGCTGAACATATCGGGGATGCATTTTCTTACGAAACCGTACGATGTATGATACAACTCGCAATAACTCATAACTCTAGTCGCGGCAAAGAAATTTGTTTCAACGGCGCTACACGTGTTTTTGCAGCAACAAGAGATGTCCTTATATCCCCATCCTTATTCTGGAATCGACAATAAACGGCTGCAGAATATGCCTTTGTTGAAATATCCGAAAATCCATCTAACTTAATGTAATTAAGAGAGTTACACACCCATCTTGGCAATGACAATTTTGCAACATTATTTAAGTCTTCACGACATTTTAGCCAAACTTCAGCGAGATTAGAAGGGAGATGGTTGTCTCATTTCAAATTCGTGAGCCATAATTCTTGGAAAAAGATTATGAATTGAACAATAACAGGAGCAAGATGGCCCAATAGATCAAAAATCCGTGATACGTCTGATAACACTTGTCGCTTAGTTAATTTTGGAATTCCATTTAAGCAAACCTTATATCCTACGTCCTCGCATGACTTCTAATAGATACACAAAACCTTTGTCATCCTTCAAAAAACATTGATCAGACTGATCATAAAAATTAGAGGTTATGGAACTACAATTAGAGACCCATTTTGAAGTTCAAATCCTGCTTCCGCACAAAGTTGAATTAGCTCGTCACGCTTTTCTTCTAGTTCACTCACGGACTGCGAACCAGTAATGACATTGTCAACGTAAAAATCTACCAGAAATGATTATCACAGCGAGAGGGTATGTTCTTTGGTGATGCTTTGCAAGCTGTTCGACGACCCTCATAGAGAAAAATGGTGCGTAGTCACCTTGCTTACGAAGGTGACTGTCCTTCAGTAGGCGACGTTCAACAGCATTAAACCTTAATGTAACCCCTTGAAGCGTGTTTCCGAATTTGATACCCTTTTTCCTGAATGGAAGCTCCACAATATATTTGCCGTCAGAGCGTCGTGCGTGCGTTTCTAAAAAATGCGTTTTTATGTGAAAATTTTCTGTGCCTAATGGCAATGGATGAAAGGCTTCCTCTATTTCCCAAAATTTTCGATGCGAGCGATCTATATCAATCGTAGTTACAAGAGACGATACTACATTATCCATGGATGCCTGAACTGATATCACCACCCATCCGAATATTGTTGATATAGCAATAGGATTACCACAAGAGTCTAAAATTTTCTTAAAAGTAAATATTTTCCAAACTTAGTCAACACCAAGTAAAATATCAATCGGTGATGAAGAATTAAAAGATGGATCTGCAAGATTCAAGTCCTTGAGTTGCTCCATAGTAGGAGTATTGATTTGTGACGTAGGAATTGCTGATATAATCTTGCTCAAGATATGAACACTTACATCTAGTGTGTCCTGGGAAACCTTTGATTTCATATAGAGTGTACAACAGCCACGTGTAGTCTCGGCCTTAACAGAAGAAATTCCAGACACAGCAATACGGGAAGCACATTGCTCTGAAATATAACTTAGTTCCGACGCACTATCAAGAAGGACACGGCATGTAACATATCTATTTTGAGTGTTTCGGACGTCAACAAGTGTTGTTGGTAACAGGTATCTGCTGGCTTGATGACAAGTTAGAGTGGTTACTGTTGGCGAAGATTCCAGACAAGTAGTGGGATTCAAAATATCTGAACGAGAAACATTAGCAACAGTTGACCATGGCTTACCAGAGGATATCGCAGCGGATGCTGATGTTGATGAAGCAATTATTGTTTGCGAATCAACCTGCAACTTGTGTATAAGAGTGTGGTGGCGCTTATGTCATTCTCTACATTGGAATTTGGAATTACATGTGTATGATGAATGTCCCGATCTGAGACAATTGAAATATAACGAGTGACTTTTCACAAACTCGTGGCGCTCATCGATAGACATCGATAGAAATGCATTACATTTAGGTATACTGTGCTCAGTTGAATTACATTTGACACATTTTTGTAACCCTTTATCGACAGAAACGAGAGATGATTTTGATTTGTCTACGGTTTTAAATTTGAATTAGATTTATACTGGTTCAACTCTAATTCTTCACAGCGAGAATCCCAAAATTCAAAAAATTCAGAGATTGACGGCGAAGTATCCCCTCGACTCTCATGTATTCTTTTGCGACGAGATTTAGGGTCAACCTTCGATAATAACAAATGGATAAGCCAACAATCACAATTGGTTTGACCTACTGCGTCGAGACCCCTTATTGTTTCGTTTGCACCATCTCCTTAAAATTACACAATTTTCCTGCAATGTTGATGGAAGCGCCATAATGTTTTCAATAAATGCCGTGACGATGTGCTAAGGGCAATTAAAATGCTCCAGTAGACGTGTCCACGCTGTACTGTAAGCAGCTTCCGTAACTGGAATATGTTTGATAACAGCAGCAGCTTCATCCTTCAATAGAGATTTCAAGTAGTAAAATTTTTGCATAAAAGAAAGATTCTGCTTTGAGTCAATAGAGCTGGTGAATAAATCTCTAAATGATGGCCAATCTGCATATTTTCCTGAGAAGTGCGGAATGTTAATTTTAGGTAACTCATTTCCCTGAAAGGATGAAACATTAGAAGTGGATAAAATTTGTTTTATAAATGAGGCTTGCTGTTCCACTAACTTATTCATGATATCATCATCATCTTTAGATCGCCATGTTTGGTCACGTTTCAACGCAAGCATGCAACTTTGAGTGGACAGGTACTTCTCCTCATATGTAGCGAAATCGGAATCAGGGTCAACGCAGTCAGGAACATTTCGAAACGCGTACATCTCATCCGTTGACCTAACAAATTGCTGTCAAATATCTTCTAGTTTGTCAGTCCTAGTTACGATTTCATCGTAGGACACTTTTTCTGGAGGACTGGTTGCGTAAGCAATTGCTCGAGTAATTGAGCCCTTAAGGCGTCCTTAAGACAGGCATTAACCTCTTCATTTCCTCTACCATAACGAAATAGGGTTTAAATATGATACAAATATAATCCGGACCAATTTTTGATTAAGAATACGCATTAATTAATTTTCTAATTTAATTTTAAAGTTTTTCAATTGTAACAAATAAAAAGCCAAGTGCACACACCGAACTACCACGAATAACAACCAAGCTATATGTGTGTCTACAAAAGGGAGGTGTTGCAATGCATTTCGCTTTTTTTGAAGAAATGTTCGAAACAATCCCAATGTAATGTGTATTTGATTCACGAACAGTAATTATAAGGATGAACCAGCTCTTTAGCCTGACGGTTACCTCGACTTGCGCGCCAGTAGCGACTTCTCTCGGTTGAAATCCAATTATTGATTATAGACCTAGTTGTAGACCAACTTAATCCACAATAAGGTTCTGGTCCACAGATTTGAGTGACAGATCCTGCCCATGCAAGACTGTCGGCAGACTCATTAGCATTAATTCCTGTATGACCAGGCACGCAAATTATATTTATATAAAAAAATACACAAAACTTCAGTTTGATGTTTTCTTTATTAAAGGTATCTTAAGACTAACTTAAAATAAAAATATAAAATCATTTTAAGCGATTGCAACGAATAGTGCAAACGCTGACATAGCATATTTGATCAAAAATTAGTTCTCACGGACAATTTTGTGAAAACATTAAATTTTGCTCAAATATGCTTTACACAATTTATGTATCAGATGTCATCTAAAACAAACTAGGTTTTATATTTCTCTAGAATAGACACTAAAGAATGGGATGATGTAACACCTTCATCCCTTGACTCGAGACTCTTCTGAGGCTCGGTTACAATATTATTTGTAGTTATTACTTTAGTGTTGTTTCTTTTTAAAATTAATAGAATTATTATTATAACAATGGTTATTAGGATAACGAAACTTACAGAATAAGATGCATATTTATGTTCTTTTAATTTCTTGATTTCTTCAATATTTTCAAAATGTTGTAGTACAATTTTATTAAATTTTACTTGTTCTACTTCCGTAATATTTTCACTCTTATCATACTCATAAACATATGTTTCTTCAATAATTTCTTTTCTATTTCTAAATACATCTTAGTTAATTTTTAGTTGTTTAATTATTATTGTTTCTTCATTTATAATTTCCAATTGATATTTATCGTTAAACTTAAAAATACAGTTATTATGTGTTGAAAATGTTCGCTTTTAACATTGTGGCAACACTTATTGTTGTATATTTCTTATTTTATCATTTTACTTTTGTTTTGCCTCTCTCTTGCGTTTTTAAACCTCGTGGAGTAAACACGTTTTTCTTTTTTCTAAAATCTGAATTGGAGTAATAAAATACTAATATTAAATGAATGCACGTCTTTTTTATTTCATAAATCTAAGTTACAATAATCAAATTTCAACATTATGAATTGTACAGCTTTTACCTCTAACTAAATCCTTATATAACATATTTTCTTTATAAGTGTACCTAACATTGTTGATGTCTACTACATATTGTATTTCTTCGGCTATTTCATAGTTTTCATTATTGGGTATGGGAATAATTGCTTTAATATCTGTTGTGATATAGTCATATGGAATTTTAATGGCAATAATAAGTTTAGACTTTTCATAATGCATCATGCCTAAC